CTGCTGATGCTGGGGGGGAGGCCCTTGGGTCCCCTTCTCTGAGCTGCGACGCTCTGACGGGCTGCAGCAGTGTGGTTCACTGCCCAGGCCCAGAAAGCCCCTGCCTGTCGCCAGGAGAGCCGTTCGATGGTAAGACCAAGCGACGGCTGCATTAAGCACTTTATGTGCTTGCTTGATGGTAGCCTGCGTGTCCCTGCCTTTGGTGGGGCTGTCTGGAGGGGCTGCAGGCGCATGGCCGCCCTGCACCCTCACTCTCAGGGCGTGCGGACCTCACGTGGCATCACTCTGGCCGGCATGGATGGCGCGTGGCTCTTGGTCAGCACCCGCGTTCCCAGGGCACAGGGAAGGCTGAGCTGGTCACCCCGGCTCCAGAGCCAGGCTGGGAGCGGAGCTGGTTGTGGCCTGCCCCTTCCAACCACAGGGCAGCATGCTCTGGAGCACAGGGAAGATGTGAAATGCATGAAAATGTTTTGCTCCCGTCCTGCTTTGAGACTTGCTGGTGTGAGGGTAGCGCAGGGGGTGCGGATGGGTTGTGCTGAACAAGAACCAGGCACTGTGATGAGCCGCGGGTAACGCCTTCCCATGGGACATGCTCATCTGTCTTGCTGGGTGGATGGGAGCCAGCAAACGCTCTCGCACCTGAAAACGGTGTGCGTTTGGGGATGCAGGTATACAATACATCCACCTCGAGCATATTGTATCTTATAGCCTAGGAATATTTTACAGCACCTCTGCTCAAGTTTGGCTTTCCACCTGGTGGGTTTAACAAATAGAGCAAAGGTACAAGAATATTTTTCTGATCCTTAACATGTAATGATTATTCAGGGTGTTCTGTGGCCTTTTCTCATTTCCACGTGCCATAGCAAGCTCTTAAAAACAGGTTGCCAAAAATACCAATGTGAAACCGTTCCAGTCTTCTGCTCAGAGCAGAGGGTGCTGCAGGGAGGAGGAAGGACCAGACCATGTGAGAGAAGTTCGTGGCTCCCCCAGCCCCAGCCTCTCCCTTGGAGATGCCAAGTCAGGGCAGACACGATGCCCTATTTCAGCAATTCTGGTTTTGATGCCCAAAGTTGTGGTGCTCCAGACAGTTTGAAGGTGGGGTTGCAGCAGAAATGTCCTGGTGCCCTGGGTATCCTTCGCTGTTCCAGATGAATTATACTCCATCTTTACCCAAACTTGTGGGCCAGTAGCTCGTGCTGTCGAGGGACTGCGGTTCAGAAAAAAAGGGGCCTGGGGTGGTCTGGCCACATTTTAACATTACTTCAGCAACCACCACCCAGGATAAACCATGTCAGAGGAGAGCTTGGTGCTGCAGGAACGTGTGTGTGAGAAATGCTTACACCATGAGTAGCTTGTGTTTCTGAATGGCCTTCTAGCTTGTGCGGGGAGAAGCAGAATCCCAGCTACTGGATGGAGTACGGTATGGATCCAGGTACAAAAAGGACTCCATAGTGTGGCTGCCTGCCCTGTGCGTGCTCCCAGCAGGGCCCTCGCAGTGCTGCATGTGCCTGGGGTGTGCATATCTTGCAGATGCTCTTTAGGAGCCAGGGTTTGCCGTTCTACGGTTGCTCTGCCTGCTGCAGAGCTCCTCAGTGCTTCCTGATACACCAGGCAAATCTGCTCGTCCTCCAGTCTGGGACGAGCTGGGTCTCTGAGGAACCAAACCGCCACTTGTGGTTGCTACCTGTTGACCAGGCAGCATGCGGGCAGGCTGTAAGCCCAGCTCTGGCGTTTGGGTCTGGGGAAAGCCTTTGCTTTTGCATCAAGGAGCACAGCTGGGCTTTCCTCTTCCAGTAGGTACAGCTGATAAATGACCAAATGTTAAGCATCTTGGCCTGGGAGGGTGGAGATGTGGCTCCGTGGCAAAGCATGCTTACTGCTAACCTGGAGAAACCCCGTCTGTAACCAGCCAGAAGAGCCAGCTGGGCGCTGCTCTTAATGTGCTTCTAATAAGCTTAAAGGGGGAGCTGTGCAAACCGTCCTGCATATGCCGCATCCTTTCAATGTTAAATTCTCCAGCCGCTCCAGGGCTGTAATGCTTCCGGGCACGTTAGGGTCCAGCCTGATGGACCTGGGGTGCTGCCCTGGAATACCTGGGCCTTTTGGCTGGGCTGGCTCTGGCGCTGCTCCAGCTGGATTAGGTGTAAGGCGAATGAACCATTTTCTTTGCAAGTAGCAATATTTGTTACTTGCTCACACGACTGTGGTTACAAAAAAAAAAAAAAAGGAAAAATCTTACAATGTGATTAATTTAGGATTAGCAAGGGAGCGGGGCAGAGCTCAGTTCAAATTGCAATTAATTACCGAAGCAGCCAGAGGATCGGAGGAGCCTGCCTGCAGTTACTGGGAGGCCACATCCTGCTCATGGAGCCAGCTGAGGAGCTGGGGCTTGTCATCCCCGAGCACTGTCCCTCATGTCTTTGATGAGGATGAGAGGAAATGGCCTTGAGTTGCTCCAGGGGAGGTTTAGATTGGATGCTAGGAAAAATTTCTCCACCGGGAGAGTGGTCAAGCATTGGAACAGGCTGTCCAGGGAGGTGGTGGAGTCATCATCACTGGAAGTATTCAAAAAACGTGTGGATGTGGCACTTCGGGACATGGTTTAGGGGGCATGGTGGTATTGGATTAACCGTTGGACTTGATGATCTCGAAGGTCCTTTCCAACCTTAACGATTCTGTGATTCTGTGACCATGCTGCATCTCGCAGCTTTGCTGGATCACGCTGTGCTACACCCACGTTAGCTGTAGGCCAAGGTTAATTCAAGCAGAGCTTTAATTTCTTCCTCCATCTTTGGAGTTAGAGTCATCGCTGGTCAGCAAAAGGATGATATTACAGCCCCCGTAATGCCATCCGCTTTTGTCAGTGTGCAATAGTACCAGGCTTCAAACAGATACGTAGCGAAAGGCAAGCTTCAGGCTCTGAGACTGCCCTGCTTATCACAGCTTCAGGCACCTCTGCGGTTTGGCTGTAATACTAGGTTAAAGCTGATATTTTAAGCTTTATGCTAAAGCTTATTTTGTTTCAGCAAATCAAAGGGTTAAGTAATTGATTATGTGCTTGGAAACAATTCCAAACCAAAACCTAAGAATAAGGAACACACACTTAATCATTTCTGAAACTAATTTCTTCCCCGAGCTGTCGTGTATGATTTCTCCAAGGCTTCTCTCAGCAGCTTTAGCTAAAGGCCAGCTTGGTAGAGGCTGCCTCGACGGGTCCGTCAGGGCTGACCCTTTGTGGGTGACTTTCATACCAGTTTCCCCGTAGCGTTAATGGGAAGCTGATGCGTGCAAAATCGATCTTCAAAGCCTGAACCATTACTTTCCTTCCTCAATTAATCGGGTAAATTAATTGTATTAGGAGCTCTGATTAGCTGGGGGTGTTTGTGAGGAGGCTAAGGAATCACTGTTCTGAGTTGTTGAGGGCTGTGATGCGTAAAAGCGTTTCGGTAACGCTGATTTCTCATCGCAGAGCGATACCCCAGGGCTGTGTCAAGCTGCTCTCACTGTGACCCCTTTCCTCGGCAACACCATGTACGTGAGGAACCTTCTCAAGGCTTTGTGATAACGCGCGGCTCGAAGCGTTGCCTAGACGAAGGGTTTTTTAGTAGTCTCGCAGTACAATATGGACTGTTAAGATTTCCGGGGGCGGCACACGTGGCGTGTGCGTAGCACAGGGTGCTGGACTGGCAGCGAAAGGGGTTCCTCCTCCTGCCCGTGTTGTGTTTGGGCCATTGCTGGTGGAAGTGGCAAAGCTAAGAGGAAAGCTGGGGCAGTTGGCATGGGCGCCTGCACAGGGCCGGACTGCGCTGGCTTAGCCCTGCGTAAGAGCAAAGTGAGCTGATTTTGTTAATGTTGTGCACGTGGTTTCGGAGTTTGAGTGCAATCAGCATGAACAAGGGGCTGGGAAAGCGTGTTTGGATGCCTTGGGGATGGGGAAAGAGCAGGTCCATCCTTCCTTAACAAGGCCTGGAGGGCTGTGATCAAATTAATTCTGAAAGGGTGAAGTCTGGAAAGCTCTAGCTAAAAAAAAAAAAAAAGAAAAAAAAAAAAAGATGTGCAGGCTGCCACAAAAAGCAGAGCCTGGGAGGGTGGTGAGCTGTGCAGCGGGGCTCGGTGCGGAGTGGGGACCTCTGGAAGTGCCCCGGCTGAGAGCCAGCTGGGATGCACCCCTCTGCTTCATTCCGAACGTCGGTCAGTAAATGTGCCACCGCAGAACAACTGCCGTGGGAGCCTCTGGGTGTGAGATTTTTCCTCTGGGGCGTCCACAGCAGCCTAACTACTGAGTTAGGCGGGAGGGCTGCAGGTGCCTCCCGCCCATTTACCCCCGCTGTCTTTGCTTATCCAAAACCCATGGCTTCAGAAACGGGGTGCATCCGTGCTGTCTTAGCTTGTTTCTCTGCCCCTCTCTTTCCCGGACTTGAACTGCTGAGGCAGAGGGCAGGGGAAGTGGTTTAGTTTTGTCTTTAATTGAACTCCGGTTGTTTAAGCAGGCGTATCAATACCTCGTGAAACTTGCCCTGCCTTCCCCTCAAGGTCTTGCACTCCGTCCTGCGTCACCGCTCTGCATCTTCACGGGGTCCGTGCTATTTTTGCTCGCTTCCTCCTGAGGCTCTTCAATCTGATAATCTCCTAATCTCCAGCTCCTAGCAATTCATCTGCAGTTGTCTTTGCTTTATACCTGGCTTATGTCTTGGGAGTTGTCTTCAAAATAGCTTCTGACCTTGTTGGCTAATGCATGTTAAGAAATAGGCCTGCATAGCTACAGGAGCCTTCTCATTCCCCAAATTCCTGTTATTGCCTGTGTTGGGGAGAGACGTCCCTATTACAAGTCACCGGTGTTGCATCAGTTTCTTGTACAACATCCTCCTGATTTACACCCATTTTCATGACCAGACTTTGAGTTCTTTCTTACCCCAGGTATACTCTGCTTTCCTTTCTGGGATATTAAAGCCTTAAAATAGGAGCTGCCCGATCTGAGCTTAGACGCTCTGATGAGCACCGCAGAAATATCCGTAATGTCTGCGAGAGGGGACACGTGCTTCCTCCTGGTTGCAGAGAAGGAGAAGGGATCTTGAAAGGAGCACGACAAGGAGTGTTAACCCTATTGCCTATGAACTCCTTTTGATAAATGTGCCTGGTAGGGTGGTTTCAAGGGAAATCTGAAAATATAGGATCAACTTTTGGCTTTCTCCGATGAGGATCAAACACCTAATCTCATCCACTGGATAACTGAAATAACAGGGAGCGAGCAGGAGGCGAGAGTGCCTTCATTAGCTTTCTTGTATTATCCAGAGTTGTATTATCCTTCAATTTTTGTGCTCCTTTCTAACACCAGCTTGCTAAAATACGTGGCTGGAAATGTGGCCCAGGGTTCACAGTGTACCATTGTTCACAAGAGAATAGGCAGTGCCTGCTGTCATTGTCTGGCCTGTTTTGCTGGTTTCTTTTGCAATCTTGGTTGTTCTTGGGAGGGGAGGAAAGGAAGGTTTCCTGGATGAGAATCCAGAGCTCTTGTCTGGATTGGACAGCAAAGGTACCACCTCAGAGCTGTAAACAGGGAATGAGCATCCACTGTGTCTGATAACAAAGCCAGACATCTCTTAATGATTGTTAGTTGGGGGGTTTGGGGAATCACTTTTTCATACAAAGGGAATAGCAGAATTTATGAAGGGATCCATTGTGTCTGGCTCGGGAGGTCCACCAGCTCTGCTGCTTCCTAAGATGACCACAGAGTTGCTAGTTGTGCTTCCAAACTCTTCAAAACCATGGTAGGTCTTAAGGTAGAAAATGTCTCTAATAGTGGGGAGTTGGAGATCTTTGGACATGATACAGAGATTATGGGCAAGAAGCTACAGATGCATCAGCAGGGATAGTGATGTGTGAGTGAGAAGCCGCTGCTAATACCAGGCTTGGGCAAGTTGCAAGAGTTTGCTCTTTGTTTTGAGAACAAGTTCAGCTCAGTTGGTGAACTCTTTCCAGGAAGAGTTTCGGTATAGAGGTCTGTGATGCCGCAATTCATTGGGCTTTTAGGAAGGAGTAGGAAATGCTCCTCTTTTGTGACCTGTTTTTGCACTGCTTAATGTGAGTACTTGGGGACAAAAGCCAATCTGTTGGGTTTCCTAAGACAGTGCTTATGTGTCCATCCCTTCATCCCTTGTTCAGAGTGTGTTCTCCCTCAGCCCTGAATCAGGTGAGTACAAGGGAGATACCGTGGTTATTTGGTTATCAACGGGGAAACAACGCAACCTGCTTCAGGGGAAGTGGAAGAAACCAGAAAATGTTCTGTCCTGAGAGACAAGCCTACCTTTCTTGTAATGATCCACTTCACTCGATGGAGGTTTGAGCTGCCTTGTGTCTAAGAGACATGGGTGCTGCCTCCGTTCCCCATTGTGGCGATGGTGAATTAGGACAGTGAAAGCAGATGATACACTTAAGTGCGTCACGGAAATGTGGGCAACTGGGCCCTACAGTAATTTAAAAATAAGTATGTATGGGATGATATTAGCAAATTTGACAGTGCTCAGCTAAGCAGAAGTCTCTGCCAGTTGCAAGCAGCCCACTCCCAGTAAGACCTTTAGTGTAGCGGTGGGCTCTTGTTATGTATGGGGAAGAAACCAGCACGTGGCTACTTTGATTTTTGAACAGTAGTTGCAGCAAGCGAATTTAATATGAACTGAGAGGAATATATACACCTCTTTCCCCGCCCCCCC